CTGCGATCCTCCTGCCTCATCCTCCCAAGTTCTGGGATCACAGGCATGTTTCACCAGACCTAGCTTAGAAGTTCTTTTTTGCCTCTAGCCTCAAACCTCCTGTGGCCTTGCCTTAATTCTCTGAAGATCTGACTGGGAGAGGGAGGGTGGAGGAAGCCCAGGGTTCAGATGAGGCCATGGAGAGCGTGGGACGAGGAGGCCCCTGTGTTGTTGCTGCAGGGTCACCACAGCGACCCAGGGACAAGTGCTGTGGGACCTCATGGCCGTGTGTCACGGTCCAGTCCACTTACCGGAGCCCCTGATGCCCTTCAGGACCTCAGCCTGGCTGTCTTCCTCCTCGTCTTCCTCCTCGTCCTCTTCCTCGTCCTCCTCCTCATCCTCCCTTGGATACCCCAGCTCGCGCAGCTCCCCCAGCTCGTCCTCCTCCTCCGAGGCCTGGTTCTCGCTCAGGTTACTGATGGTCTGCAGGTGGGACTCGGCGATGCGCTGCACGGCTGACAGGGCCCAGGCAGGGCAGGGTCGGCTGGGCCCAGGCAGCAGGGTGCCCAGTGCCGCCTCCCAGAGTGTGCGCCATGGCCACAGGCCAGCCCGAGGCAGGAGCAGCAGCAGGGGGCAGACTGCGTGTTTGGTTTTCAGCTGTCCTGAGATGCTGGCCTCATGGAGACTGGCACCAGGAAGTGCCCCTCGCCATAGGATGCCAGGCTGGGCAAGTCCAGACAGGCATAGCAGCAGCTCGATGTTCCCTGGCTGGGGGCTTGCTCTGCCAAGTGCCCAGGCCCCCAGGCCATGCAGACCGGCTGAACTCCAGGCAGGAGGCACCAGGCTGCCGGCTGGGCCAGGGACTTGGCTTCTCTTTGGGGGGTGTCAGCCCGCCTGAGGCTCACTACTCACTCAGATCCTGCCTCTGCCGTGCTGCGCCCACCCCCACAGTACCACCCAGTCTTAGGTGCCAAGGGTGGGGTCGAGGCTGGGACTGAGGACACCGTCGTCCACAGCCAGGGAGCCCATGCCTGGGGAAGTGACCTGCTCCAGTGCAGCCCCCAACATCTTGACCCACATCCCCAAGCTCCCAGCTCCCTCTGCGGTGACCTAGAAAGCTGCTGACACCCCCACTGCCGGGAGGTGCTCAGGGAGCGCCCAGGAAGGTGCAGTGGAGCAGGGGGTCGGGAGGGAGGAATGGCAGGGGCCGGGGGCGGGGGGCAGAGGTGGTGGTGAGGCTGAGAGCCCAAGGGACACCAAGGGCAGAGCCGACCGGGGGTGGGGTTGGCAGTTACTTGCTCCCCCCCCCAACCAGGGGTTTGGAAACCTCCTGGGCAGTGATGGCCCCCGGGATCCTGCCAACTTGGGGACAGGCACAGAGGGAGCATTGTGTGGTGCATGAACCTCCCGCTGGCTCTGGGCAGGCCACTCAGGCAATAAAAGCCCAATAAATCACCCTGCTCTGGCCTCAGGACACGCCAGAGCTTTACCTAGAGCCAAGTGTGACCTTGGTGTCCACTCCTCCCCCAGGTGAAGACCTGGTGTTTCCACCTTCTCTCAAGTCCCCCAGAAAGGGTGGGAGCTACCACCCAGCACCCTCCTGTCTCCAGCCGCCCTGCGGTTGGGGCAAAAGGAGGGGGCAGCGCTGGCCTGTAGTGCACACCCCACCCGCGGAGCCCGCCCTTCCTCCTCCCCCTCCCAGACTGTGCCTTCCAAGCTTCTCCACTTCTGGGCCCTGAGCTCTCCCTAACCCAGGTCTCCTTTTGTCACTTTTCTTTTTGGTTTTGAGTCAGGGTCTCACCATGTAGCCCAGGTTGGCCTCGAACTCTCAGCAATCCTGCCTCGTGAGTGCTACTGGGATCACAGGCGAGCGCCCCTGTGCCAGCTAAGTCCCTCTTTTTAAGCCCCAGGAGGCCCAGCGAGGAAGTAGCTGGTGGCACCCCTCTCCCAGTCTCTTCCC